CTTTAATCTTTAAATATCTTACGCAACACGTGTTTTTTTCTTCTTTTTTTTCAAAACTCACCCAAGATTGTGGGTCCTTTAAAGGATATTTCATGTGTAGATTTTAATTCATTAATACATTTTCATAAAGAGACGAACACAAGGATCAAATCAAGAATTTTAAAGGCTTAAGGACTGAGTTTCCTTTCACCGAAGTTGAAGAAATGAGGGAATCCATTAGCTCAAAAGACTTAGGATAGTGTTTTTTTAGTGCTTTATATTGTGTTTGAAAGGATTTTCTAAAGTATATATAAATGGTAATTTGATAATCTTTTAAATGTTTTTAAACGATTTTAATATTAATACTGGATGCTGAAAAATAAATAAATGAAAGAACATTAATTTTTTATTCAAACAAACTTTTGTTAAAAAAAAAAATGCTACAGTAAAGTCAACGGTTGAGTGGTGGAAGTTTGCAATAAGGAATTTCATGGCAGCTTCCTCCTCAAAGCATTGAACTTTCACCCTCTAGGCTCTTTCCAACTTTTATTGCCCGTTGGTCCCCTTTGAGAATTAAATTTGTTATTCAAGATATATATATATAGTGATTTCAAATTTAGATGGGAGAGGTTATTGATAGATGAGTAACTTTAAATGTATAGTCGTACATGAGATTTTCATCTCTTACATCTCGTCATTCAATTATTTTGAAGTCCTTGGACCTTTTTGTCGGCCAAGAAGCTCTTATCTCCATTCATCCACTCGGTCTCAAAAAATAACGAGTATAAATTACAATAAAAATTAAAAGAGTTTAATGTATAACCTTTCATTGTTTACTTAAAAATAAATTATTATAGATTAAAATAGTATAATGATGGAATTGTTCTTGTTAAGTATACAGTTGAGGGTGTCTTTTCATGAAATATATTTGATATTAAAAGAATAATTGAGAATAAAATGATATTCACAATATAAAATTATAACATTTGAGTTAGGGGTTTTTTTTATCTTTATATATATATATATATATATCAGTAAAGATAAAGCCATGCCCCTAAAGGAGAGAAATATACATGTATTAAGAGGCTTCATTGTCCTTATCTTTTATTGAAACAATTCACGTCCCATTGGTTTTCAATAAAAAAACAAGGATGCATATAAGGATGTTTTTATTATTTCTATATAGTTTCATTATAAATATCATGTGATTGGATATTATGTGTGTGAGTGTGTGTAAATTATTATTTATATTAAAAAATGATTGGTATATGCTAAACTCGTGTCAATGGGTTGGCGCCATCTGTGTCATTTAAATGGTGCGTGTAACTCAAAAACATAACCAAGCGTACTAGGGCGTGTTCAATACTCCTCGCCACCCTAGGCATAGTGGCAAGGTGTGTGTGCCAAGGCAGCCCATAGAGAAGCTCTGGCCAAGGGATTTTCCCTCTCTTCCCTCTCTCTACCTAGAAAATCATGATGGTCATTACACACAAAAAAAAAACAAGAAGAAAAGGAATAAGGTTTGGATATTTTATTTTTTGCCAAACCCAAGAAAATGTGGGTTAGACATAATTTTCAGAATCAAGTAATATGAATCTGGTATCTTTGCTAGACATAAAGCACTTAAACATAGCATCAGCCATATCCAAAGTTCTTGGATGTGGTGAGTTACTCGCCAAATCCAAGACACTTGAATTTGATAATTAACCAAGTCTACAATAAAGTGGATCTGAGTTTTCTAGATCCAAATAACGTGGGTCTAATATGTTTTTTAAACCCAAGGCACCTGGATGCGGTGTCAACCACGTCTAAAGTGTTTGGATATGATAGGCTGCATACCAAACCTAAAGCGCTTAGACTTGGCAGGTAGCCAAGTTCACATTAACATGGACCTAACATGTTTTCCAGATTCAAAACGTTTGGACCTAACAGGCTGCCAAGTTTAACTTGAATATTAAAATGTTCACAAATCTATCTTTCAACTATCATTATAATAATTATTTATATTGTTTATAAATTGGTTCACAGCAATGCGCTTGCCATTTATCTAGTTTAGTCATGATTTAACTTTTCAGTTGAACACGTTTCTCACTTATAGTAGCATGTCACATGAGACGTGAATGGGAATTGAGTTTTTATCCAGGAACATGTTCTTTTATTACTTATTTTTTAATTGAATTTTCTCTTTAAAATAAGGTAAGTCAAGCTAGAAAATATATTGAATATTGATAAAGGAATGTATTTTTGTGTTATTGATGAAATTAATTAATTAATTGATCAAGTCATCAAAAACTTCAAATAAAAAATAGAGTTTTTATGGTTGGGTTGATGGACTTAGCTAGTTTTGAAATAGCAAGTCTCCTAAAAAACAAAAAACTCTTTGATGCTCAAATCATTATATGTGTATAGAAAAAAATATATAGAAAAATAAAAAATAAAATAAGGATTAGAAAGTACATATCTAACTTGATGTTTAATAGTTTTGCCTAGCTTTGGCTGGATTTTATGGCCTTTAGAAGTTACTTTATTGGTTATATTTATGGTGATGTTATGGTTGGCCCTTTATATAGGTGATTAAGTGTATTTATCCATCTAAATTTATTTATCCATCTAAATTTTGAAAATTTTTCATGGAGAATCGATTTGTATCATTGGTGAAAATTTATCCATAATAATTATTGGTTAATGTGTTATGTCATAGTTTTTGTATCATCTATATTATGGATGAAAAGTATTCATGATGGCTTACCATTATCTTAGAAAAAGATATATGCATAGCTCTGCATAGACAAAAATTGTATGTGCACACTATATATAAAAAGTTTATATGCAAAGCTTATGGAACCTAAAAAAAAATATATGAAAAAATATATTGCATAGAATTGATCATACTAGAACAACACTTTGAATTGAACTTTAGATAGAAAATCCCAGTCATTTAGGAAAGATCCATGTGGTTGGAACACTTCTAGTTGTTTGGGCCATGTTCAAATAATTAGAGCATTTTAAGCCTCTTGGGTTAGCCCAAGTGGCTAGAACACTTTTAGTTATTTGGGCTATGTCCAATAGGTTATAATGCTAGCCATTAAAGGTTAATTTTTAAAAAAATAAAAGGTTTCTTTTTAGTTTTTCTTTAAACATATGTTCGAAAGATTTTAACTCACAAAAATTGTTTGGAAGCCAGGAATGCATAAGAGATGAATACTTTGAAGCTATGCCTTTAGCTTTTGTTAATTTTTCTGCATGATATGTTTTCATATAAATTCTAGGGTGTTGCCATAGGTCTATTTTAACTTTTTAGTGTAATCTTATTTGTGCCGTCAATGCTTCATGATAATTATTCTGCACATGTATTAATAATAACCAAATAAGAAGTAGGTTAAACCGCGTAAACGTCCTCTTCTATATATATTGTTATTTTTTATTGACATCCCTAATAATTATCTTCTCTAATTTCAATCCTAAAACAATATGGTGTTTGATTGACACCATTTTTATTAAATTTTCTCCATTTTAATCTTAAATATCTTATGCAAATCATGCTTTTTCTTCAAAACTCACCCAAAAAATGTTGATGAATATTGTTATCTGGAATAACGCAATTTGATGGTATGAAGATTGTATGCATAGTCTATTATAAACTTAAGATTGTGATATATTGGATTAAGATATATGATTAATAGAATTTATTTGTGGAGTGTTCTTTTGGATCATGTCTGATATGTATGTAAGAGACTTACATGGTTGGGATGATCTATAGTGATCCTCTCAATCGTGTGCTGGTGATCCTCACAAATTATGGTTTTTAGACAGCTGAAATAACTTTATAGTTCTTGGAAACCTGTCCAATCTAAAGAGGATCATGTTGGAGCAGGTTTTGATTCCTTCCCTTACCATTAACTGTGTACAGTTAGAAAATCTGCAGAAAATATCGTTGCTCGGCTGTAATACTGGTCCGGCCTCCGGTGACAAAGCTATCCGGATTTCAGATGCACTGCCGAAACTAGTGGAGATCAACAATGGCTACTGCAATAGTCTGAAAGAATTGCCTGTTGGACTCTGTGACATTGTCTCCCTTAAGAAACTTTGCATCACCTACTGTCCAGGCCTGTCAATATTGCCTCGAGAAATCGGAAAGATGGTGAATTTGCAAGTCTTGATGCTTAGCTCCTGCAGAAATTTGTCAGATTTGCCAGACACTATTAGAAGCCTCCATAAACTGAGCATTCTTGACATATCTGACTTTATTAGCATTAAGAATTTACATGACAGGATGCTTTACATGACAGGATGCTCAAATTGCGGGCCAGAACAGATTGGCAAGCTGCAGAGTCTAAAAAAGCTTTACATGACAGGATGCTCAAATTGCGGGTTACCTAACTCAGTCACCATTCTTCATAGTTTGAAGTCCGTGATCTGCGATGAAGAAACAGAGAAATCATGGAAACCTTTCAAGCGCTCCTCCCAAACATGACTGTCATTTACTGAGTCATAAGAACTAAGAAATACAATTGCCATGATTTTCATGTACATTAATGAATCACTTATATATAAATATCTTCCATTCTCCAAAGTCAGAGTGAGATCAAATAACCCTTGTCACTTTTTTGTAGTTGATTTGTTCTTTTTTTCATCAGTTTTGCTCCCATATGGACAAACTGCAAAATTAATCCTCCTGAAGAATAACTCTAAGTTTTTAGGTTATTTAATATGATATTAAAGTTTTATTAATTAAATAATTATGAGTTTAAATTTTATTATTTTTATTTTATTTAATAAAAATTAAATATAAAATAATATAAGCATATGTAAGTTTCCAGTTTGAAAATTTTTAATTTGACAAAATGTAGTAAAGAATAATATATATAATAGCTTAAATTTTTAATTTTAACATGAAGAACCAATAATATAACATAAACCTTGGTTTTAATCTGGAAAGATTTGAAAATATTAAAAACTAAATGAAAATATTTTTATAAGAATAAAGATAAAGATGATTGAGGAAACAAATAATTTCCACTAAAAATTACTTCTTTACAATCTTAACAGTAATTGACTTGCAACAAAGTAAAATCCCAGGTAGTTTGTCAGAAACTAAACCCAAACTTGGTAATCTTTTCGCTTCTTTGATAACTCATTCTAAATCTGGGCGCTGATGGCTGTCTGTGGCTTGAAGTCCGAGAGTACCATGAGTTTTCTTGATCGTTTAAAGGTACGACATGGCTAGGCTTAGGCAACTCATCTCCATGATCCAACAATTTCTTACTCATTTCATTAACCCCGGTCAAAATTTTCCGCATGTTCTCATATTGCAAAAGCTGAAAATTCAACGTTAAAAGATGTTTGAGAGATTCATCAAGCTCATCAATTCTTTTCTCGTATCTTCTCATCTTGAAATAATTCCATTGTGAGATTCTTGAGCATTTAGAAACAAGATGACACCCTCTCGCCAACAATTCACACAATCTCTGGGCTTCTGCTCCTGGAAACTGCTGTTGTTCTCCTCTGATAACTTTGAATCTTGCGATCAAGATCCCGACGGTTGTCTGGAGAAGCCGTAGCTTAAATTTGAAGCTGGAGGCTGTAGTTACTGCGCACATAATCGAATCACTTAGCAGTTGAAGGGCAACTCCCAAAGCAGCCCCTGAAACAAGCTGTGATATTGGTTCCATTGGGACAATTTGGCATCAAAGAGTACAATAATTAACAAAAGAAAGATTACTCTCGGCTACTTGTAAGTTCAAGTGATGTTATTGTCTCTTCGGGGAAGTAACAATGAAATAGGAAATAATATCGAAAGCTTTTTAGAAACTACACAAACTGAGAAAAAATGCTCTGAATTTTATCCTCAAGAATCAAGAGTGAATAGTACAGCTCTTCTACGTTTCTTAAATAATGCAAAAAAAAAAGTCCTAGATAGAACAGGAATCCTAAACTAATTAGGAAAAATAATCCTAACTCATCTAGGAAAACTACAAATCCCTAACGGTAACATTTTTTTTCCTAATTTGGACGCATCATGGCCCTAGATAGCTACTATTAAAATACAAAGTAAAGAAACATCAATCGAGGGTACTGAGATTTGCATTCTCAGCAACTGTTATCACTCCATTTTTACTATTAAAAAAAATAAAAAAAAAGGAGCCTGAACCATGTCCAGGCGCATCGGGGCTCACAATCAAGCCCATGCAGACTCCCGGAAAGCCCAGTCTAGGCCTGCTTAAAAAAAAGGCAAGGTGAAGGAGATTGACAATTTTGGCTACCATAACAGGATTAACCTGCAAGGTCGTGTAACTTCTTCACAAAGACAGTAACAGATGATAATCTATGCCGCATATTTCAATGCCTTTATTTTTATTGATGATTTTGAAGAAGAGAAGTCAGATGCATAGTCAGCTCCCTCAGTGCCGCAAAATTCAGCGACAGAGATAGTGATTTAATAAACTTTCAGTATTTAAAGCAGTTTCCTAATCACTAGAATAAAGGGTACCTGCAAGTCTTTCAAGTATACTGGTGGCTATAGATCTTGCAGACGGTGGACGCAAAACCCTTACTCCTCTTGTTTTTTATAGAATGAGAGTATATTACTAGGCTTGCTGAAAATGTTCTCCAGACGACAATTGGTGATTGAAGAGTGTAGATTCTTGACAAAGAGATTGGCAACACCAGTCTTTCTAGCAAAAGGATTCCTCCACTTTATTCTCCTTGCAACTCAGAACATGGAGGAATCTCCCCATCTATTAGATGAATCATAAATTTAAAAATTAATTTAGGTTTACATAGGTTTTTTAAATTATTTTTTTTATTGATTATTTTTTAATTTTATTTTTAAGTGTTAAGCTTGTTGAAAATTAAATTTTATAATTTTTTATGAGTTTTTTTGGAAATTAACTTGTTTTTATGATCTAGATTATCCCGGGTTTTTTTAAATTTTTAAAATATTTTTTAAATTTTATTATTTAATTTTTTATTGATTTAAAAATTTAGGTTTTATATTTTTTTATTTGGTATGATGCAGGATGGGGTTCATTGAATTTGCTTAAATTTGTAGGTGTTTTTTTAAGGTTTTTTTTAATTAATTTTTTTTAATTTTATCTTTTTATATTTAAATTATTAAAAATTAAACATCATTTTTTTTTACTGTAAAGTTATCCTAATCTAAAAAATCATGGATTGCAAGGATGAATTAGTGGGAAGAAATTATCGTAAAAGGATGACAGCTAAAAAGAAAAACTTGTAAAACGCATTTTGAAAATGGCAAACGCCAAAATCTATTATTGGATATGTAAATTGAAAACAACAAGGGAATTGAACCCGACGTGAATCGAACACGCAACCTTCTGATCTGGAGTCAGACGCGCTACCATTGCGCCACGGATCCACTTTTGTTCTCTAGCCTACTTATTAATATAAAAATAGTTCTTTGTTATGGATCTTTTGAAGCACTTGAATCAAGAACCAAATCTTGTGCACATCGATCATTAATACTCTAAATCTTCGAATGCATTTTTAGAAGAATTGAAATAAATAGCGAAAAAAATTTAAAAATTATTTTAAAAAAATGACGAAAACTTTATTTTTGAGTAGCTAATAATGATTATTTTTTAAAATATTTTTATAAAAAAATTGAAAAAATGGGAATTCAGACAAACTAAGCTCTTAATGCAATGTCAAATACCAAAAACTAAAAATACATTAGATTATTGTTATACAAACATTGGCATCATCCTGGTACTATGTACTAATTTACAAGGACGTATCTTCCACATTATTTTTATTTTTATTTCTTTCCTAACGGAGAAATTAGTCAACCTTGTTCTCTTTTACTTTAGCCACTCGGTTCTTCATTCTCCTGACAACCTTCTCATCTACCAGATCACACAATCTTCTTGCTTGCATTCTCATCCACTCTTCAAACCTCTTTATCTTATCCTCGTTCTTTAAATATATCACAGGAACAGTCATGCCCACCACTATATCTGTAAATTTGTTGAAGACTCTTTCATATTTATATTTTGAGGAGATATATTCTATATTCATGCGCAATCACGAGCGATACAACTATAAGGTTAGCTTGCTTGTGTATTCATGCGTGTCATGGTTATCCATAAATTGTTACCTATGTAAAGAAGTGACAGAGAATCCCAGAAGCTTCCCACATAAGAGAGAAACCACAGAGCAGCAACTACACGAGCAAAGAGAAACAGTTCTCTCTCTGCACTCACATGGCACATCCATCGAACTCCCTCTTCTATCGATTGTCGAACGGAGCGTGCAGCTTCAATAGCTGTCTGCTCTGAAATCTCCAAGCCGGACAAATCTGGCTCTTTTCTGAAGATAGGCCAAAAACAACCCTACTTCTTGAAAGTTTTATACATAGCAACAAAGAAGAAAGAAAAAGAGATGGGTTAACAATAGTTACTTGCGGAGAAACCTGGCTATGTTGCCATAAAGGAACAGTGAAGTAACAGCAAACATGGCAGCCCATGAAGCAACAGTGATGAGATTGAATTGATAAACATCAAGCAAAACCCATGAAGCTGTTGAGACTAGAAGAACCAATAAACTCAGCTTCTTTCTCCTCCACAAGAACACATCTCTTACAGTATCTGGATCAAGTTAAAACAGCAAGTGAGGCCAAAAAACATTAATTTGTATTTTAAAGAGTTTATGATTAATTACCATATGACACGGGCGAAGATTTTGAAGGATTCGACATGTCAAGCAAGGAAATCAAGTTGAGGTTTCAACTTGGATTAGCTTCTTCTTTCTTTTTTTTTTTGGGGGGGGGGGGGGGGGAGGGTATCCAAATCAAATCTTGTTAAGATTGTCTCTTGGTAAGGTAAAGAAGGAGAATATGTGCTAGGTTTACACGTATAAAGAAAAGTGGAGGTCTTGCAGCCTTGATGGCAACACTAAAGATATAGGATAAATATCCATACGACCCATTGTTTTCTCGAAATAAATATCCATACGACAACCATCTAGGTGGTGGTCAAGTGGTAAGGACTTAGGATCAAGAGGTTTGTTCCCTCTGTGGTCTCAGGTTTGAGTCCTTAGTTGCTCATATGATAGCCACTGGAGGCTTACATGGTCGTTAACT